AGCGAGTGCAGCCGTTGCTCTCACTTGATGAATTGTTCAACTTTGCAAAAATGAATGGGTTTCTGCGCAAGCTGTGAGCTTTTCCTCGGCAGAAAGAAATCGCTCGACTGGAAAAGCACGAGTTTTCTAAATTCTCCTCTTGAATGGTTACTTGGTAGTGACACACAAAAAGATAAAGCATGTCGCTCTATTCTTTTCACTCTCTCTTCAGAAGACAACTCACTTCTTGCAAGGTGAGCGGAATGGTTGGAAATTGGCAACTGGTCAGATTGCACCAGAGACTTCAAATTTATGCCATTTTTTTCTCCTAAAATTTTCCTCATTACTAAATTATTTGACTTGCTGGAGTTAAATCTAATGAGATTTATTAATTGGATTTTGGAATTGATTTTTTTTTTTAATATCAGAGAGTAAAATGAATTTAATCACCAGAGAGTATTAAATTTAAAATATTTCCATGAATGCCAAGAATGAACACAACAGATTCTAGTTAACAGATTCCCAAATTGTGGGCATTCAGAAAATCCTAACAGTAAATCGCTTTCAAGGTAAAAGTCAATTGCACGCAATCAGAGACACAAAACAACACCAAAATGGCGACTAATATCTTGATTGTCGACTATTGTGCTGTCCGTCGGTCGTTTCCGCATCAAACTGCGTTTTTATTCCGCTCAATTTAATCCTCAAAAGAACTCGGACGAGAACGCGGTCTGCTTTTTAACTCTTCATATCAGGGAAAAAATGGTAAAAAGAGGCGCGCGTGTTTCTCGCCACCACTGCGCAAGTGGAAATGTTTCCGAAATCACATTTTGGTGTGTCCGTACAGACTCATTTAAATAATTGCTCATGTGCTGGCAGCTTTGCCTTTGTGCGGCCCGAATGGATTTTTGTTTATTTTTATGCAGATGTATTTTGTTTTTATCATTATCGCAAGCACGGTCGGTTTTTTCGGCGCCACACAAAAATTTGCGCCCAGGGATTTGCAATGAATTTACCAAGAAAAATTTATTTGGTAGATTTTGCCTTTCACCCATAGAAGAGTTGAATTCCGACAAATCTATTTCAATTTTTTCATTATTTAAGTTTTTTTTTATTGTGAGGTTTTTTTAACATTTAAATTGTCATGTTCTGACTGTTACTGGCTATTATTTAATTGCGATTAATAATCATTAATCATAACAGTACCTTGAAGTATTATTGATTCATTATGAAAACAAAATTTAGTTGCAAAGTGTCTTTATTGATTGTATCAGAAGGCAATTACTAAATTAATAATAAAATTTACATAATTTTTTTTTTTTAAATATCTACAATTTAGTATTTTAGTAAAAATAATTCAATTGTTTCTAAGAGAATATTCACTTTTATCTAAACACCATCATGTTTATTTTTTCATTATAAAAAAATTTAAAAACTGCATTATTTAATGTTGCATAAATATTTATTAAATGTACATCATGATTAGCGCTTTACTAAAGATGATATATTTTTCAATTTAAAATTCAATCAGCTCCAACTATAAAAAATAACTAAAATAGTTAATTTGTATTCTACAACAGATTCTGTTGCTGATCATTCAAGAATAAATTATTAATGAAAAAAAAAACCTTTCATAAAATATATTGAATTTATTATTACCTTGTAAATTTATAATTGATTCATACAAATGGAAAACGTATATACGTTTGTAATCCCCTGGAAGCCGTTACGTTTCACTTCTAATCAATTTGTATCCGCAACGCATCTGCCGAGGGTATCACACCTCGCTCCAGAAAACGAAGCAAACTCGGATCAAGAATGCTGATAGCATCGCACAGATCCTCTTTTTGCCCGACACGATCAAAAGGTTCGCACCACACACGCCCGCAAAGCCACCGCCAAATCCATCCTTTTAAAACTTGATCCGTCGACGTGTTATTAAAAAGAAAATCCATAAAAAAGCAGCAGACGGAGGAAAACCAAAAGCGATCTCACACTGGAGCCAATTGCAAGTGCAAATAAAGGCGAATTTCGCTGCGGGCTGCGAGTGATACGGCGAATGCGAAAGAAGGAAAATATAAGGCTGGCTCGTTTTTCAGCATGCCAATCATGCCCGGCCGGTAAATAGGGCTGAGGCTGGCAGCGCCAAATTAGTTGATCACGTCGCCATCCAGTCGAATTAGAGGGTGCGAACGAATTCGGCGCCCCGGCCGTAATAGAGGTGCAGTTCGGTCAACTGGAACTGAACACGATGGAGTTCTCTCGACATCGATCTCAAAAGTAGTGTATATGATGTGTGCGTTCGAGCTGACGAGGTGCGCGCCCCCACCTTCACTTCGCTCACATCACACATTTCGCAACTTGGGTTCACCCTTTTTATAGTAAGACTTTAATCATACTGTGTTATTTTTCTTTTTAAATTATAATAGTATGTTGAAGAAGAATTTAAAATCATAAAAGTACTCAACCTTGCAACAAAAATGGTCAATTTGTGACTGTTTGTGACCATTTAAGCGAGATATATCTCTCACAGGCGTTGATCACGTTAGTATCTGTAGGAAAATTTTTAAAAAATATTATAAAATTTCTGCTTCACACACGTATTGAAATCAAATTAATAGAAAAAAGAAAAATAGCAGTAATTAATAAGAACAATTCTGTGCCTAAATCAATTTAACAAATGTATATGCAAAAAATAAATCGCCAACCTAACGAGAGACATTGTTGGCAAAATGTTAAATAATTAATTGTAGTATAACGGGTTTTAAAAATTAAAGTTTTTTAAACGCAGACGATGCTTCCGTCTATTTTAATATGAATGTTGCTCTAATTGTAAGTTATAACGAGTTTTTTTTTTTTAAGAAATGTGGAAATCAATTTAATTTTGGCAGTAAAACTATCACAATGCTAAACAAATATGTGCTCAAATTCTGGTTGGAGTTTTTTTGTTTTTAATAAATCGTTTTTTACAACAGAATTTATAACAGAATATTACCAAATTTTCTCATTTTTCTTTCGAAAAAGCGAGTTTCCCCTCTTTGAAAATCCCCTTCCATCGCGTAAATATGAACGGCAGATCCTCCCTGCGTCTTCGAGTTGCATTAAATTGAAATTTCAATGTTGGCTGCGTCACTCTCGTCTCCTCTTTTCTCATGTACCAAATCGAGAACGTTACACGTCTCTTTGACGAACGGCTGCAATAATTCACTGCCTTATTGGTTTATTCCACTTTTTCGCTCAGCTGCACGTTTCATTGACAGATTCATTATTGCAGCCGTCGCGAAACAAATGGGGTAAAAGTAAGCAAAGAAAAAATACAAGAAAATAACAGATTGGGTTTGCGGTGCACATGGGGCTACGTGTTAACAAAGATTAAATTTTTTACCAGTAGATCGTCCTCCTCCCTGTGCTAAATCCTGGGATGAATAAAAAAAAAAGAAAGGCCACGGCTGTGCGGAGGAAAGTTCGATTTTCGGCGTTTGTACGCTTCCTCAGTTGCCTACCTTCGCATGCAACAGATTCCGTCGTTGCGAGATTTATAGCGTCGGTTGGCTCCCCCGCCAACCTACGCGAGTTTCCTCGCCCCTAATAAAATGCAGCGATCGGCTGCCAATGAATTTCGCGCCCTTGTGTCGACTTTTCACTTCTAGAGTCCTTCTCCGATTCGTCCATATTAGAGAAAGTTGGTGATAATCCACAATTATAATTATTTCTGTATGTACCTTATCATTTAGGTGAAAGGGTGAAAGTTAAAAACAAAGTTCCTTGTAGTAATTTTCTCACTCAAAATTATCTTCCAATATTAATAATGAAATCAAAAATAAAACGGAAAATTGAAATATTTTTGAAATTTTTATTGAAACCAAAACTTTTTACCGCATATTTTTTTAACACTCTGATAATTACAATTTATAAAGTGGAGCGAAATTCGACTACTTGTTTTGTTGATTTTTTATTTATTTCAAAGTCAAGCGACTGTCGTGCCTTTTTGCGTGTTTTCTTCTTTCGTTGCCTATAGCCGGAAGTCTCAGGTGATGAAGTGAGCTTCAATTGCTCTTTTTTATTGTGGGTGTGGCTTATATTACTGTCGCGAGGAACCATAAACTTGTGGTCAACACTTTGCAAATTATTCATGAGCCGTGAAAACTGTCAGGCAAATCTTTGATACTTTGTCTTATAATTTAAACATAATTTATATAAACTTGTTTAAAATATTTTTTTATTTATAATGTTACGAAAATTAAATCTTGATCTTTTTCTAAACGTTTGAAGACTTATAAATTATATTATTTTCATGTCGTCGGTTCACACGTGCGCAATGAATTGCATGCATAAAAATTCATCTGAAAAAAGGGGAAAAAAATATCTGAAAAAAATACATGTTTGTAAATCTGATAATTATAAGGAGGTATTAAATAATATTATCACATGTGTTTTTCCATATTTGATTTTTTTATGGAATAAATAAATTTATTGAAAAAATACTAGCTGTAATATACTGGGCCTGCTGAGAATTTGTTTTTTTGTGAGAGCAAGTTTAATTTTAAGTGCTGGCGAGCTTGATGTGAAAGAGCAGGAGCTCCTAATTGAATTACACACCGAGTTAAACTGCCTTGCCACAAAGGAGCAACTCGACGCATTATTTTCCATACACGCTAACAAGGCTGGAATTAAATAACGTGGCCCCAGATGACAAAGAGAGAGGTGGATCGGCTCATAATTAGGCAAGAGATACGAGCGCATTAGTCGCATTATTACAGGTAAAGCCCTTTTAATAAATAATGACCTCTTTGTTGATATTTTTACGCCCCTGTTTTGCGTTGCGGAAAAAAGTTTCACAAGATTAAAAGAGGAACAAAGCAGGACGGATCAGTGGGAAATGAGGTCGCAGGTGTCTAATACAACATTACTCTTTTTATGCTGCTCTTCGGGAGAGGAAATTTCGTTGGCGTGTCACATTATTATTTATTATACACAGAAAGAGAGGCAGAGGAGAAATGAAAGACTGCGATGTTGCTGCGCTTTAGATTAGTACTTTTATTTATTGGAGCAAAAATCAATGCATGTGATAGTGTATTATTTATTGGTAATTTATTATCCTTCATGAAATATAATAATAAATTTCAAACTTCGTACAACACGTCATGGTCCACCTTATTTCTCTGTTTAAATGGTTCTTTTGTGTGTATTTGTGAGTGTATGTGAAAGTGTGAGTTAGTACAACAGCGAATATTTTTTTTCTTTATGTCGTTTTACACAATCGCGATTTGTTTATATTTTCACGTAACATCAAACAGTTATAAACATTAAAGTATAACAATGAATCTTATTTTGTATATTTTAATTTTAAATTTAAGTGGGGTCGTTTGCGGCTAAATCCAATTTTCCAATTTTTGTGTTGTGATTCTTCTTCTTTTTTTGTATATGTATAGGAAAAGCCGCAAACGTGTTCCCCGTTGTAACGTGTATTTAATGACTTAATTAATTATGTCCTAGCTTGAAGTAGTTTTGGACACGCACCACTCATTTATTACCCTCGTTAGCATCTAAAAGTACAAAATCACAGTGAGCACAACCAAATGAGCCAAAAGCAGAGCAAATAAGCATTGTTTTTCTTTATACATCCCTTCCTGTTTGTTGTATATCTCGGTTTGTCTATAGTTTTTTTTAATCGTCGATTTTACAGCTTGCTTTAAGATCCTCGCGGTATATTAATTGTGTCAGTCTCTCTCGTTGGGTTTGCTCGTTTTAAATTTCAACTCTGCTTATTTACGCGGTTTAACTGTTCGATTTTATCTCTTCGTGCGCTTTTCTTCGTTTTTTGTGTGTTACTTTTGATTATGTGTGTATGTAATGTGTTTTTGGCTGCCTTTGACTCATGCGACATCGTGAATATTCGCCCGTTTTCATTCCTCGTCTCGTGAGCGAGTGAATTTCCGTCACCTAAACGTAAATGTACAGAATATATGTATGTCGAGAGAAGAGAAAGTGCGTTCGAAACTTCGTCTTTTTTATACAAACAGTAGAGTTTTGACACTTACACACGTACTTAATCAAAGTGTCGCTCTCGTTGGAAAGAGTTTTTTTTTCTTCTTTCAATTCACACATTCACTCCTCATTCACTATGGAGTGAACATAAATTTCTTCTCATTCAAACGCTGCGCTACTTTTTTGCGGAACGATATGTGAAAGGCAAAAACATGGCGGTCAGAGAAAGACGGACAGAATCAGAAGCGGCTGCACGTAGGCGATAATATTATGACCAAAAATGTGAGCGGCGGGAGAATAATAATGGTTTGTGGGCGCAGTACGTCCATCCACCGGCATTCCAATTTAGCGCGTTAACCATGGAGCACATCAGAGATAAACAGTGATGGCTCTTGCTCGTTTGTGTTTGTTAAAATTCGCACCAATAAAACGTAAGCGGAGTGGCAAATTGGACTAAAATGTCTGGCAGTGTTTACACTGTATTCAATTAAATTGATCAAAATCATATAACAAATTCATAAAAACTTTTAATTTATTTAAATTGAATTAAACAATGGCGTGAAATGAAATAAAAATTTGGTTTCTCGAAAAATTCAAAGTATTCTGACAATCAACTTAAAAAAAAAAACGTAAAAATCAAATAATAAATGAACAGCTTGCTCAAATTACAGTTTTTTTTATAGACTTCCTGGGACTTAATTGTAACAAAATTATTTCAGAATGGGTACTGAAAAATTATTATTTTCATTGGAGTTTTAAAATGAAAGTGTCTTCAAATGAAAACCAAGAAGACACGAAATTGTACTGAAACGAAAATAAACTTTAAATTTTGCTTGGCAAAAATCAATTTTTTAAAAAAAATTCCAATTCACCAAAAACAAATATTTCAATTAGCTCATAATTTTTGTCGCTAAAATAGGGACGATCGAGTGCGACCGCGCTGCCAGAATCGACCTCTAGCTACCATGAATCCATCAAAATTGAATTGCGCCTCACAATTAGAGCAGAGACGGTAATTGAATGCAATTCTGTTGTGCAGGCGCCACACAGCCACCGGCACACAATATGCTGCTGCTTTTGTTGCGCCGGACAACGGCAAAATGGACAAATTAAAAATAAATTACCTCTCAACAGCAGCGGCAGCCAACAGCGTTCAGTTGCACGCCGCATAACGAGAATTGTAATTGTTAATAATATTGCAGCGTGGAAAAGTAGTTGGTCAAGGGTGTGCTCATCGTCGGCACCAAGCTTTATTGTTTGTTGTTAATCGAAGAGTCATGAAGCTACACACTGAGAGTGTAGAATTTCGCTCTGAGCAAGGAAATTAAACTGGCTTTCAACTGTTTACTATTTTAATAGCAATTTCTCATTAGGAATTTGAGAAATTTTTTATTAAAAATTTCAATCAATCTTTTTTTTTAAATTCATTAAATATTTGCCTGAATTTTAAGTTTTAGATATTATTTTATGTTTAGTTTTTCACTGAAATTTAAAAGTAGTACGTCATTTGCAGGTTGCATAAAATTGTCTAACCTTGTATTACTTGTATTACCTGCGACTGTATCCAAAACATTCCGTATCAAAACAGATGAATTTAATTCACATTGTTTTAATAAATTTGCCTGATAAAATCATTATTTTTTGCAAAAAATTGTTATCACCAGAGCGTATTCTCAAAAGCACTTTTTTCCACTTGAATTGAAAGTTATCGGTTATTCACAGTGAATAGATGAAAGGGAAATTCTCAGAATCGGAAACAATTGGCACCCTTTCGAAACTTTCCACGATTTTAATCGGCACTCGGGCGTCACCTCCATCTTTTATTCCCTTTATTAAAATATCCACCCTTATTCAGAAAGCCACGGTCGAAGGAAAACTTATTTATTTCCTTTTAATGAGCTCTCTCACCTCAGGGTGGAGTGCAAAAAAAGGGAGGGGGAATGGAAAAGTTTTTTATTGACAGCGCAATTTTGGTTGGCAGGCGCGAGTTTTAATGCTTATTCCCGCACGTGGCGCCTGGGGAAAAGATTTTTGCCGATCGCACTCGTCGAGATTAAAAGAAAATGGACTTGCCGAGGGAAGTGAGTGGGTGATTTATTTCCAGCACGCACCGCTAATTCATCATCAGGCGTGCTCGCGCGCCGTAGCGATGTCACAACAATTCTTGCTCATTAACTTGCCTTTCTTGTGTACACTCACTCGCTATACTCGCGTTTTCTTCTGGAGAACAAAGACGCACAACCCTCACTCTCGGCTGATGACGCGACGCACCGTGTTTTGAGGAAGGAGAAAGAAAAATGCGCGGTGCCTTGGGTATACATTCAAATGAAGCGTTGCGAAACAAGAAAGGGGCGTCCTTCTCCAAAAGAGGGAACGCTCTAAATTAAACCGAATAATTGTTTATCACGTCACACGCACCGCCGAATTATTTAATTATAAAGAGAGAGTGAGCATTCATTTGCGCGCGGTTTAAGCTCGTGCGTCGGGCCGGCACTAAAATATTAAAGGTCTCACAAAACCCTCGTTTTTATTGTTTGTGCTGCCATCAGCAGAAAAAAAAACAGAAAAATATAAGGCGGAGAAGCCAAAGAAAAATACTAAAGAAGAAAAGTAACAAAATTGCAGCCTTACATAACAAAAATTATATTTAAAAAACAATTAAGACTTGATTCTATTGCCTAAAATAAATTCCAGAATATTTAAAATCTGTAGGAAATATTCAAAAATTTCATTTCCAGGGTCAAAATCTAACCAGGGAAATTTTATTTTGGTCCCTACTATTCGTTTAGTTGAACAATGTGATAAGAGAAGCACACTAAAAATAATTTAAGTTTGTAACAGTAGCATGTAAAAGAAAAATAGAAGAACAAATTAACAAACTTATTTGCAGAAGATTGGATTTAATAAAAAAAAACTTATTTCTGCCAACGGTAAAAAAACATTCTATCTTTTTTGGGGGTTCTGCGGACTTTTTTGTAGAGTCAATTGTGGTCCGGCGACGCGAGAAAAGTGGCGATTCTCTTTCGCTCTTGGTGCACTTTTCCCTACGCACTTGAGTAGACACCTAAGTAGAAAACTATCGAGCTGATCTGGCGATGCGAGCTGCCCATATGAATATAGACGTCGTGAATGTTTTCCTCATGCATGCACACGTGTCCTCTTTTATACATGTACATATAAATTTGGCAGGCGGTGGAACGCCGGCGAAAAATCCCCGTCCCAAAGGGTCTAAATCCGCTTTCAGTAATCTTCTCCCCACGTTCCTGATTATCCAATGATTCAATATTTCAGAAAGGCGACACTAACAAGAAGCCCAAGTCGCGTGCCAAAGTGTCTGTGTGAATGTTTTGCGCGTTTTCTCGTCAGATGGCGCAATCAGGAAATTGCACTCGCAAATTAATCGGAAAGCGGCGTCTTTCTCTCTCCCTCTAACAAGAGAAGAAACAAAGCCCGAGAGGGCGTCTATTTTAGTGGATTAGTTTACGGCTCTCTCCGCTACAGAGACATGCAGACACATCCCCTATTTAGTTTTCAAAGTAACAAATAAAGCGGCGCATCGGCGAATCGGGGACCCACAGGGTTGCCTACGTGTTTCAAAACACAAACACCTCCCGCATGCTTTTCGTCAACAAATTAGCGAGCGTTCTAACTTTGTACTAAAACCGCGGCCTTAAATATCACGCCTTGACACACCGCATTATTTTCAAGAGGTCCCCGATCGGTCCGAACGGCTCGTTTTTTACGATTTAACATTTTAAATATTTTTTCATAAATTTGTGAACATTAAAATCTCTCGTTTTTTGATATTTTTATACACATCTATGAAGAGCAACGTCTTATCGTCGATGCCTTATACACAATCAATGAGAAAAGAGCGTTATACAATTTTTTAATAATTCTTCTTTATCTTGAAATACGACGCGTATTTTTTTTTAAGTTGTGCCAATCAAAACTGGTGTTAGTAAATTTTCTTGTAAAATTTTGAGCTTGTCCCTTGATTCGTTCTCGAAGTGAATAAATTAAAAAAACACCCATGTGTTGCGTGCGTGTTTGTTGCTGCTGGACGTTTCTGATTGTGGTGTGGGCTGCCTTCTCACGTACTTTTGTATGTGTGTCTACACCACGCTGGCACCACCGTCGCTTCCGGTCAAAGACAGCGAGTTCTCGTCCAGCACACCCACTCGACAGCTTTGTCTGCAACATAGAGAGCAATTGAAGTGGCTAATAAGTCTGAACTAACTTCGTTTCTGCATGCATGGGACGGGGAATATAATGAGATTTGTGCACGTGCAAGTGAAGTTGATGAAATTTGGCTGGAATGTAATAACTTATAAGAATTTTCGCAAAATCTGACCGCCTCCACAGTACATAGCTGCAATTGGAACGTAATTGTGCCAGGAAAATAATATCTGAAGAATGAGTGCAAACAGAATTTTAAAATTTCACTTTGATTTGAAGCTATTTGTTGCAAATTTGTGAATTTTAAAAAGTTCTCTTATTATTTTCTAAATTTTTTTTTCTAATTTTGATATTCACGAAAGTAAAACACGTTTTTCCACAATCATAATGTTTTCAATTTTTTTATAAAGTTAATTGCTAACTGCTGACCGCTGGGTATTAGTTTTACATCAAATTCCTTAACCGGAGAAGTAAAATTTTAAATTGAAAATTCACTTTTCCCTCATTTTTCATAATCAATTGTATAAAGCGAGAGTTGTGATTGAGTTTTGACTCTTCCTTGTCTTGTGATTTTCTTAAAAAAGATTTATTATTTTATAATTAAATTTTATAGCAAACTATACTTCTCTAAAGTAATTTTCTTGATTAATAAAAAATATTTTATTGCTGATGTTTGACTGTATTTCTATGATTTTTTTTTTAGTTTGTAACATTTATTATGTTTATATGTCACAAAATACAATTACACGGCTCAGTTAATCCTAAAAATTTATATAAAAAATATAAAAATTTTAAATACATAGTGAATAAAATATTTAATAGAAAATATAAAATAAATGATTAAAATAAATAAATATATAAATAAATAAATACATAAAAAAATAATAAATATAGTAAATAAAAATTGGAACATTGTTATGTTATTATTTTTAATAAATAAATTTATTTCCGAAACTTTGCATTATGTTAAAGAACAATTTCTGTTAAAGGGATTGTCGTGTTCCTCTTGCATTGTCAAAAATGAAGCCCAACGCAATTTCCTGCTAGACACAATTGCCGCCTCTTTCGCGTTGCTTCAGCTCTCGGATTGTGTTACGCCGGCGGCTGCACAAAAGGCGCCGACCATTCAACTGTCGACGAAACACGCCAGCAAATTGTTATTAGCAGACAAGTGCGAGCACTTAAAAACACACACAACAATGTAATGCCTCTCATTGTTGCGCGTCGACTGCGTAATACTTGCTAATTGCACGTAATGGGGTCTGAGATTAATCGCGGGGATGGATTCCCCTGGCACTGGAGACAAGAAGTTGCCAACAAGTAAGTCTACTTCGTAATGGCAGGCAGAATTAGCTGAGAGGTGATGCGTTGGATTTCGGAGCTCACCCGTATTAGTTTTGCACCGAGAGTTTGCAGGGAATGCGGGTCTTAATTACGCTCCAAGTGCTTTAACAAATCGATTCGCACGAAAGAGAGATTGCCAAATGCTAATGAGAATGGATGGCAAAATCAATCTGCCAGTCGAACTTTCACAAAGACAAACATTACCCCCAATCAAGCGGTATGGTTAGGGGAAAAGTTTGACTTCGACATGCATCAATATAAAAAGTGCCAATTTTGCGCAAAAAATTTTCTCTTTGTCGAAAGGCGACTTTTCCTCCTCGAATGAATATTCATCTGACAGTCTGTTTTTTTTTTACGTTCTGTCCTTTCGGAAAGATGTATTGGGTCCTGCCGGGGCTCTTTTCTTCTCTCTTTCAATCTCTCCGTCAAGACTGATATTGATCTATAATAATGATAATCACGGTGCCGAAGATACGAACGGATTTGTGGTTTTGCAGAGATGAGAGTCTCTCTGCTTCTCAAAGAAAAGTTTTCTCCTGTGTCAGTTCAGCGAACCGGAATAATGGGTCAGCATTTATAGAGAGCGGCAGAGATTGGGCCGAACGGCGCAAATGCTGATTCATGTGAAAATTTATCTCTTGCTACTTTTCTGTATGCGAATGTGGAAAAAACAATCTCTTGAATTATTGATTATTGACTAAAAATAATCAAATTATTATTATATAATTGTAAGATTTTACCATTTTTCACTTTTGTGAAAGAGAGAAAATGTGTAGAACCTACTCCTAAAAATTCTTATTAATTTTGAAAATTGTTCAATAACTGACATTTCTAATGAAATGGATTTTAATTTAAATATTTAAATTATAAACATTCCTTATGAATCTCAAGTAAAGCATACCCTAGTTGAATGAACATTCCCTTAAGTACATGAGGGGGAAGAAGTATATGAAAAATTCCTTCCCCAATGGACCAGAAGATTTCCCGGAATTCAACACTTGAAAAAAATTTAATACCCTGAGCGCTGCTCGCGAGGGCTTTGTTTGACTTTGCGAACGTCACTGGTCTTCTCATTAAGGCGCGACGGATGTAAACAAGGAAGAGTCGTTTGCTTTATTGCCTCGAATTGATTCGGGAGCGCTTGAGGGACGATAATCTCGGGGGCTTACACGATATTACACAAGTTGCTGACAATCAAATTGCCGTCGGCTATGTAATCTCGACGATGATTATTGTAATTGCTAATCCCGCATGTGGCAGAACCGCACGAGCGCGGTGGCAATAAAACGCCCGAGAAATTATGGCCGCGCAATAAGGCCTCAGCGCCAACTGTGGAATGTTTGTAAGGAGCTCCATTTACATTTTATTGCGCACTTTTAAATTTCCCACCAGAGCGGTGCTGCCTTTAATGGACTAGTTTTCCGGTTTGCAGTATGAAGATAGAGAAGTCATCTATTTTTTAACTGCATAACTTTATTTCAACTGCGCCGTAATGGAATAAGTTGGTTCATAAATATTTAATAAAAAAAAAATGGGAGTGACGTAAATTTATTCCTTCCACGGTTCTTCCAATTTGAAATGTATATTTATAATCTTGCATTAATTACACGCTAGTTGAAAAGAATTAAAATGAATTAAAAAGTATTTATGGGTCCTCTGATAAAATTTTTTACTTTACAAAATAACTTGTAATTTCATCAATAATTGACTCAAATTATAATTATTGCAATAAAAAATATCCCTTCATTGGTTTCAGTAAAGGTGATAATGTTTCTAATAAAAAATTAAAGTCTTTTAACTCCTTAAAACGTCCCAAAAGAATAATAATTTCTAGGAACTAATTTGAGGTATTGACCAATACAAATTTTGCACCAAAAATGCAAATTATTACAAGCAAATTTTGATTTCTTCTTGATGATATCTTTAAAATTTGTCATCTACATACATGTAATGTAAGTAGCAGAAGCTAATTAATTTGAAAAAGGCGTTAATGTAATTGAATCCCAACTTTACTATTAATGAAATCAATCTCTCACTCTCAGGCTAAATAATGTCCCTGCAGAGTAGCTCGACTGCTTTTAGCCCGACAGACGTGACGGCTGCCTGAAGTGATTAAATTTTAATGGACGTCTTTGTACGTCGCAATCCCACACGGAGACAAACATGCCCTAAATGCAGATGAGTGTTTGATGTCTGCCGTAGACGTATATTCCAGTTCCTGCCTAGAACCCATTCAGACGCATGCACTCCTCGGTAAACAGACTGTCATTATCGGGTGTGCGGCGCGGTTGTTCGGCTGTGACTAATTCTTCGCCTGTGAAATGCGCCGGCGGAAAAACGGGAGACGGATTTTATGCTCCATATCCTTCAAATATTTGCCGCACATCCACCATAATTCATTTGCCTAATGAGCTCGCTATCCTTGCAGCTGGTTTTAAAACAAAACCATATAAATACGTTTTTTTTTAAGGTGTGCAACCAATCGGAAAATGGAATTATACAAAATATCCAAACTGGATGGACATGTTAATCTATGCTTTTTCCGTTTGAATGATCACTCATCGATAAATTATTCAGCCGACAGGACCGCAACTGAATTGCAAATGAATTCCATAAAAAATTAATGATGCACCGGGCGATGTAATAATACAACTCCCACGCAGCGTAATATATATGCGAAATTGGAAATTGATAACAGCTCTTGTATTGAATTTCCATTGTCCTTGTGGTGAAAGTTGAGAGGTGGTTTCGAATTTCCGATGGCGCAGAATAATAAAGACGTCGTAAATTAAACGCAAATAAACTACAGCTGCGTATATTGGAAAATTCAGAGTGCGTCTCGCTTCAATTATTGGCTCTCGGAAATGGAACAAAAAACACAGACGACATGTTTTGAAAATCAGCAGGGAGGCGGCGTTTGATTTTCAATCAAGCGGATTAGGCGGTGAAATAATGGCCCCGCATAAACTGCGGTCGTTGCTTGTCATAGGTAAATTCCCATCAGGTCCCCTGTTAAGCGGCACTGCTGCTGGTAAAAGGGATTAAAAACGATTAATTTATTGACTCGCGCGCCCACCAATCGTTACGTTTCGCCCAGGGATAAAATCCACATCATTGTTTTGATTGGGCAAAAGTAAAGAAAAACAAAACATTTTGTTAGTTTTAGCAGGAGCTGCGTTTAATTTCAGGCTCACCAGACAAGCTTTTCAAGCGATACACGCTTTTTTCAGTAATCAAGTGAAATGTATGCTTTGCTTTTTAATTTAGGTCACAGCAGGAGGATGATAATTTTAAATAAGAATTATAATATTCAATCATTTTCATGTCTAATTTAGTAATTTAAAACATAATAAAATATTCAAATATTCCATAATTTTTTGTTCAGTAAAATGCTTAAGGTAAAACAAATATATTAGCATTTGAGATTGCACCACTGGAAAGTTATGTGTAATAAAAAAATCACATTTTTTCTTTTGCTTCACAGGATCGAGAAAAGAAATTTAAAATGATCATTTCCTTCTTTTCAATTAATTTTGGTTTAATCATTTCACATAATTTAACATTTGCAACCCCGCCTTATAAAAAATAGAAAAAATTCTTTTTTGAACAAGTGTATTGATAAACCTATCCATCAAGCAGCAAGCAATGAAGAAAAATTCTTATTTATTCAA